GTTGGAACCACTGCTCCTCAAGCAGACATTCAAACAAGGTGATGCAAATATAGCTAAGTAGACTGATCTTATTTACATATGTTATATTAATTTGTAGTCTTGTACTGTTCTAGGAGGTGTTGACTATATCAGACTTGGAGAGAGTGTGATTGAGTACTCTTCTGATTTCCGTTTCTACATCACTACTAAACTAAGAAACCCACACTATCTGCCCGAACTATCCACCAAAGTGTCTCTGCTTAATTTCATGATAACCCCTGAAGGCTTAGAGGACCAGCTTTTGGGGATTGTAGTTGCCAAGGAAAGGTAGTGTTCAAACTCATAATGCTATATAGCAAATTTATATGTCTGTCAGAGTTTGCAGAGAATTGCTTGTGCTCCATTTGCTCCACAGACCAGAGCTGGAGGAGGAAAGAAATGCCTTAATCTTACAGTCAGCAGCCAATAAAAGACAGCTGAAGGAAACTGAAGACAAAATACTGGAAACATTACAATCCTCAAAGGGGAATATTCTGGAAGATGAGTCTGCAATTCAGATTTTAGATTCTGCTAAGATTTTGTCAAACGAGATAACAAAGAAACAGCAGGTCTGTAAACAAAAAGGTTACAAACAATAACATAAAACATGAAAACTAACATTCTGAAATTGTGTTTCAGATTGCAGAGAAAACAGAGGTCAAAATAGCAGAATCTAGAGAAGGCTATAGACCAATAGCAAAGCATTCATCTACACTGTTCTTCAGTATTGCTGACCTGAGCAATATAGACCCCATGTACCAGTATTCTCTCAGCTGGTTTGTCAACCTATACATTAATTCTATCCAAGACAGGTAAGTATTTGCCAACAGAAACGTGAAAATAGATTAACCCTTTACATTTTTTTACATGATTTATGCATAAATGACTCATATTATCTATTTAATTATCTTATTTTTATCAGCAATAAGTCAAAGATACTGGAGAGGCGTCTTCAGTACCTCATTGATCACTTCACCTACAATTTATACTCCAATGTATGCCGCTCATTATTTGAGAAAGACAAACTTCTTTTTTCATTCCTCCTCTGTTGTAACATACAATTGTAAGTATATTAAAACACCAATTTTAATATTCAAATTAATATTTAAATTACAAATATAGATCTTGATACCTTTTGTGTACAGGGCAAAGAATGAGATTGAATACTCCCAGTTTATGTTTTTGCTGACTGGAGGAGTAGGCCTACAAAACACCATTCCCAACCCTGACCCCTCTTGGCTTCAGGACAAGAACTGGGATGAGATCTGCAGAGCCAATGAACTCCCGGGCTTACAGGGCATAAAGTAAGTTGAGCCTAAACTTTTACATTTTCTGCATTTTTCTCCTTTTTTTAAGTTATACTTGGGTTAATTACAATCTTATGCATACAGAAATGATTTTATCAAAAACCCTGGGGAATTCAAGGTGATATATGATAGCAAAGATCCAGCAAACACTCCTCTACCTGCACCCTGGTGTGAAAAACTCAATGAGCTTCAGAAGATAATCATAATTCGCTGTCTACGACCTGATAAGATGGTACCAGCTATTACCAAATATCTGACTGACAAACTGGGGAAGACATTTGTCCAACCACCTCCTTTTGACCTAAGTAAAAGTTATGAAGACTCTAACGCCACCATTCCACTTGTATTTGTTCTGTGTCCTGGAGCGGATCCTATGGCCAGTAAGTATTTTTCTTTGTATACATGTTTCAACTTATGCTGCATATTTTCGTTTCATTAAGTACTACTTTATATGACATCTGTTGTTAGTTGTCATCTAAAAAAATATTCTTTCCAAAGGTTTGCTCAAATTTGCCACTGACAAGAACATGGCGGCTACAAAGTTCCAGTCTATATCTTTGGGACAAGGCCAAGGTCCCATTGCTGCAAAAATGATTGCGACAGCTATGCAGGACGGGTCGTGGGTGTGTCTGCAAAACTGTCATTTGGCCATTTCCTGGATGTCCACTCTAGAGAAAATCTGTGAAGACCTAAGCCCAGAAACATGCCATCCTGACTTTAGACTTTGGCTTACAAGCTACCCATCTGCAAAGGTGCAATACTAGCCTATTTTATTTGGTAAAATGTAATTTGATAATCCTAATATAAAGCAATGTGGTTTGTCTCCCTTTAGTTTCCAGTGACAATTCTACAAAATGGTGTTAAAATGACAAATGAGCCTCCTACTGGTCTTCGACAAAATCTTCTCCAGTCTTATCTGTCTGATCCGATATCTGATCCAAACTTCTTCAGCAGTTGTCCCAATAAAGAGATGGTAAGAAGATTATAGATACCCATTTACAAAAGGTTACTACACAATTTCTGTATTGATGATAAACATTTAAATTTTATCTTTCAGATCTGGGAGAAGCTCTTGTATGGACTATGTTTCTTCCATGCTCTTGTTCAGGAGAGAAAACAATTTGGTCCACTAGGTTGGAATATTCCATATGGTTTTAATGAGTCTGATCTGCGCATAAGCATCAGACAGCTCCAGGTACTGTTATTTGTATTATTTATTGTATATTTTACAGTATAGTAATGATGAAATAAAAGAAAAAAATGGTGTTAAAGTTTTACTCTTTTCTCTTTTTAGCTGTTTGTTAATGAATACGATGAGGTGCCATTTGAAGCTATAACGTATTTGACTGGAGAGTGTAACTATGGAGGCAGGGTGACTGATGACTGGGACAGACGACTGCTGTTGACCATTTTAGCTGATTTTTACAACACCAACGTCATCAAGAAACCTCACTATGCCTTCTCACCCAGTGGAGATTACTGTGCACCACCTAAGTCTGCATATGAAGGATATATAGAATTCATCAAGGTAAAATAATAATGAAAAGAATGCAATGTGGAAATTATGTTGGTAAAATGTGTCTGTGTCATGTTTTAAAGGAACTACCATTCACCCAGCACCCAGAGGTTTTTGGGATGCATGAAAATGTAGATGTTTCCAAAGATCTTCAACAAACAAAACTGTTATTTGATTCACTGCTACTTACTCAAGGAGGAGGAGGGATAGGTGGAAGCAGCTCTGGGAGTGACAGCACGCTTTATGACATAGCCAATAATATTCTCACCAAGGTACACATAAAATTGAAGTGCATAAAATTATACTCGTATTACTACTGTTCAAGGCCCATCATGTATGTTTATTTCTAGCTGCCAAAGAATTTTGACATAGAAACAGCTCTTTTGAAATTCCCTGTTCGCTATGAGGAGAGTATGAACACTGTGTTGGTTCAGGAGATGGAGCGTTACAACACGTAAGCCCCATAACTTTTACAAACGTTTACAAAAAGTCTTTTTGATCTCAACCCATTGTTCTGCTTTGTTAGGTTGTGCACTACAATCCGTGTTAGCATCCAGAACCTGCTCAAAGCCATCAAGGGGTTAGTGGTGATGGATGCTGAGCTGGAGGCGGTGGCTGGCAGTTTAATAGTGGGGAAAGTGCCAGAAAGGTGGGCCAAGCGCTCTTATCCCAGTCTCAAACCCTTGGGCAGCTACATAAATGACTTTCTTGCAAGGCTGAAGTTTTTGCAAGTAAGATTTTTTATTTTTTTTGTTACAAAGAAATTTAACTGTTTATTGGAAGTTAATTAAAAACATTGAATCTTTTGTTACAGAAGTGGCATGACACAAATAAGCCTAATGTATTTTGGCTGTCTGGATTCTTCTTTACTCAAGCTTTTCTCACTGGTGCAATGCAGAACTATGCAAGAAAGTATCACATTCCTATTGACTTACTAGGGTTTGATTTTGAGGTGATTATTTTTTTTGTTATTATGCATTTTATTATTCAGGCTTTAAAAATATGTATTCATGTTTTTTTTTCTTTCACATTTTGGCTAAAGGTTCTTCCCATTGATGCATCAGAAACATCACCTGAGGATGGTGTCTACATTCATGGACTGTTTTTGGATGGAGCTCGATGGGACAGAGATAGGTAAGACAACTAGACAATGGAACATTCTCATTCTTATAAACTGTTCCCGCTAAAATCTGACTGTTGTTGTTGTTGTTTGTAACAGTAATGTTCTGGCTGAACAATACCCCAAAGTCCTTTTTGAATTGATGCCAATTATCTGGATCAAACCAAGTAAGTCAATTTTAAATCATTTCAGCCCACAGTCAAAAAGTAAAAAAAAAAAAAAAAAAAAAGTGTGTGTCCTGAATTGTATTAAACTGAAAATATGTTATGCATCTCTATGCTTTAATATATATATATTATTTTTTTTACCTTTGTAGCTCAGAAGAAGGACATCCTTCAGTCTCAAAAGCTGTACATTTGTCCACTGTATAAAACCAGTGAGAGGAAAGGCACTCTATCGACCACAGGCCACTCCACTAACTTTGTCATTACTATGATGTTACCAACAAGCAGGAGGCCTCAGCACTGGGTCAAACGTGGAGTAGCCATGCTCTGTCAGCTTGATGATTAAGATACAAGCCCTTGTATCTTACATTTAATTATATATTCTTGGAGTATGCAAAATAAAAGTTGACTTATTCTGAGTATGCATAATGTCCTGAAAATACTTACCTGTCATCCAAACCGCGTGGACCTATTACCCTCGATACTTCCTTATGAAATACTGTAGCAATAATAGACGTACAGTTACTCCATATGGCCACTAGGGGGTGTTGTAACCTTATTACAGTTTGAGTAAATTTGATTTGAGCTGACACCTCATACAATACTTTTTTCCCCCTACAAAATGCATTTTTTGTTGACATTACAATTTTTTAAATAAATGTAGATCATTGCAAATCAAATTAAATTCAAGTTTTTATATGTCTAAAGTATTTCAGATATGTGTTTTTTTTATTGTTTCATAACCTTAACGAAATTATGCTACTGTAAAGCAATAAATTAAGTCCATGTAGTGGGTCAGAGCTGAGTGTTGGCCATGATGGCCCCATGGTCTCGTATTTTTAGCCCACCTAATATAGCAACAGTATGTGGGTAACTGAGAGCCTGCAGACCAGTCGAGCGCAGCATTTCAATGAAGGTAAACATGTTTTCTGTCCTCATGTAGTTCTACTATAAGTGTTTTATTTTGCACCACATTTCACTTACACTCGCAGTTGTGTAGCACTTTAACTTTTAAATTTTACTTGCAAACATTGTTTCAGTTTTTGACTGAATTTAATTCGTCAGGATTTAGATTTCTAATATGCCTCACTGTGTCACGGCAGTAGTGCTGTTCTTGTTGTTAGTATTCGCGGGGTGTCCATTCTGTGCCTCCAGCCTTTATGATCTTGTTTACCTTTTGTCTCTTTCCCAGCTCCTGGTGCTCGTGCTGGACATAAACACAGATGAACACTGAAACAGAAGATGATTTTTATCAGTCAGACGACAACTTTGATGATGATGAAGATGAGGCAACCCAATACATAATAGAACAAAGTCTTATCCAATACAGAAAACTTAAAGGGCTCAATCCAAGGTGACAATCTGTCTTTTTCTTAACCTATGTGTTCTGTGAATTTACCAGTGCTTTGTGATTTTTGGTGGCCTCCTTTGCAATGAGTAGGTTCAAATCAACCGTGAAGTTGGTAGAATAGCCATTGAGTAGACTATTATTACTCGAGAAACAGTCATCAAAAAGTAACTCATTGCTCTCCACCTCTGATCAACAGTGATCTGAAATCAAGTGAAGATCCACATGAGATTTATAAAGCAATCAAGGAGGGTGAGATGAAGTCATGACTGTACTGAGGTCAAAAGGAGAACAGTACTGAATGAACCATGTGTTTGAGACCTTAGGTGATGAAGATGCTCTGATAAGACTGACTATCCAACCTGAGATGCTGTGTAAAGTGGATGAGCGTGGGTGGATTCCACTGCATGAAGCAGCAATTCAGGACAACAAACAAATCCTTGAGATCATCTTTTCAGGTAATTGCGTGACTTATGTTATCTTTGTCTTTATACTATTTTGATTATGGGCGGCAAATATGTCATAAGGTTATATATAATGTATAAAAATGTATAAATGTGTTTAATACTGAAGGCAATAAAACAGTTGCTAGAGAAAACATACGTGTCATATCATGCATTGTTATCACTATGTTTTAGCATCGCCCCCTGGTGCGGCACAGTGTCGAACCCTGAAGGGTGAGACAGCACTGTTTTTGGCAATTGTCCATGGACTCAGGGAGAACGCCACATTCCTCCTACAGAACGGCAGTAGCCCAGACACCCAGAACGATGAGCAGGACTCTCCTTTAGTCGCTGGTATCGACTGTTTGTAGAGATAGTAATTTTCGTTTTCATTAAAGTCAGAGTGCAACATGGTAAACAAAGTGTCACAATGTTCTAAAATATGATCTTAATTCATTATTTGAAATAGAAGGCAGTTTGTCACATTTTTTGACAGAAATAAAGAAACAAAATATGCAAATGTTTATATAAACAAAAAAGACTTGATTGTTTCTATCAATTTTGATAACTGCAGTTAATACAGAGATAGCAATTGTAAACACTGCATATAGACATACATTTAAAAAAAAAAAAAAAGCACAAAGAAACATTCTGATCACATACTAAACACATATTTACTATTATACTTATTGTTCTCATTTTTCCAGCTATTTTGAATGATCAGTATGACTTAGCCACTCTACTGCTACGTTATAATGCCAACGTGGATCAGACTGGGCCACTGAACCGGACAGCCCTTCATGAGTCTGCGTTTCTAGGCCTGGACAATTTTGTCTATCTGCTCCTAGAGTCTGGGGCCAATCCAAACGCATGTGACATCAAACAGAAAATTCCCCTTGCCCTGGCTGCTCAAAATGGGCATTTTAACGTGGTAGAAGTTCTACTACAGAAAGGTATGAAAAAGTTTCTCAGAATAAAAACACGCTTTTTACCTGTACCAGAATTTAGTAGAATTTGTGTGATTACAAATATAAGCGTACTCACAAACAGTTATTCAATGCTTGATATATTTGTTTTTTAGGAGCAAATGTAAAATGTGAGTCAGAGTCAGGCACTATTTTGTTCGATGCGACTGCCTCAGGAAACCCTGACATCATATCACTGTTGTTGGACCATGGAGCAGATCATAATAATAATAATCATTTAGCAACAACACTGATCATAATTAATAATCAATAAGTAACTGGGCTTGTAGACAATTCATTAATGTTACAGACCATCCTACAGACGCTTTCATTTCAGCTACGTCAAATGTTTTGTGTGCCAACTGCTGCCACCTCCAGTTTGTGGATTTCTCAAAACAAGTGTCTCAAAATTACATCATACCAGAAATCAGTGAATTCTTGTAACTGATGATCCACAGATGCAAATCGCACTTTACAAACAGAATTTTCAGTTTTACAAATGAAATTATTTTTTGCAAATAAAAAATATATATATTTACAAATATACATCTATTTGTAAATACCAAAATATAAGTTACAAATATAAAATTTGCTTGTGTGGATATCAAAACACATGTACAAAGCAATGACTATTTGTATGTGCATTTGTGAATATTAATGATACAAAAGTACCTCCATATTTGCCTACATTGAGCTACCAGAGCAGGGATGTTCCTCTCTTCCCGCCCCCAAAGCCCCCACCCCAACACACACACGCATGCACACCATACCTTTGAAGGAACTCCAGCGTTGATCCCAACTCTACTGGATAGTGGATATTCAGGCAGTAGTAGCTCCCAAACATTATGTTGATGGCAGCGATGAAGTTTGTGATGTTGTCATTTAGAATCTTGCCATCTATGCTTAGCATGAACAATTTTGCACTGTAGCAAGAGGTTCCTGTAAAGATTAAAAGATCAAGAATTATTTTTTAGTTCAAAGACAGATCTGAGCTGCAATAAATGTTCTTATTAATGCACAACAGAGATGATTTTTTATATTTTTATGGTGAAGTCTATCAATACACAATCACAAAAAGCCTTTTGAACCATGACAGTTTGCCTATTAGATTATGTAACAATGGAGGCTCCTTGTTAATCTGAGGAAAAAAAAAAAAAAAAAAAAAACTTACCACATACGATGATGCATGGGGTCACAGGCAAGCAGTCCACCTGAACGGCAAGTTTCTTCAGTATAGTGGAACAGGCTCTCCTCTTTTTCGTTGAAGTAGGAAAGAAGCAGAAGCATCATATCCTTGATGTCATCTGAGCAGCCCTCCAACTGTCCTCTCTGGAACTTCAGCTTAGTTACTGTCTCAAAGATGCGTTTGGTCTTGTTTGCACAAACAGTTGCCATAAAATTCAACAGCCGTCTTCCTTTTTTTTCCACACTTTTGAGGAATGTCTCTTTGAGTGGTAACCCTGTCAGTTCTTGGTAATGAGCAGACATTCCAATTTCGTGAAACAAAAAAGGCCATTCCTCCCTCAGGACTTGAATAGCTGTTCCTTTGTTTATTGCTTTACGTTGGGAGTAGTATGTGCATTCCATAAGTGTTGTCACCTCATCTGGGCTGAAAGCTCCTTGTCCATGTAGCATCTTCATTTTTTCTTTCTTTTCTTGTTGGCTCTCAAGTGTTTCAGTGACTAGCATAAACTTAACATCCCACTTTATGCAGCCATATGTGTCCTGAACTGATGCTTTTTTTCTTCGCTGTTTCTTCATCTGTGTCAGAATTAGCTGACTCCAGTTTACGTTTGTGTATTCTTGGGGTTGAATGACGCTTCTTGTTGTCTATACAGGCTTGAAGCTGTTTAACTAGACTGTGATATCCTGGTCCCACTACTTCACCTTCGATAACATCTTTTAAGGACTGGGGATACTTGGCAACTAACTTTTTGGCAACTTCTGTAGAGGCTTGTTTCGTGGGAGATGCACAAACCTTCATCATCTCGGTTACAACAATGCGGATCATTTCTCGCCGTAAACTTGGGCTTGGCCTTTTGCCCCTCTCCAAGTACTGCATCAAGGGTTCAGGAAATGTTTCCCAAGGAATCTCAAAGTGGTCAACCCAATCAGCACCTCTAACCAAATGGCTGGGTGAGGGACAAGGTGAGAGTGAGGAGGGCGTGGAGGTAGAAGAGGTGAGGAGGAGTGATGGTGAAGCTGAGGGGGTGACATCTCGCTGGCTGTAGGTTTCAGGACTCTGAACTGTAAAACAAAAACAATCAAATAGTGGATTGCTGCATTGTCATTTGGTATTCTTCTTTTTTAAAATTTTTAGTATTTTTTTCTTTTTTTTTCTTATATATATATATATATATATATATATATATATATATATATATATATATATATATATATATATATATATATATATATGATGTCCAGATCAATGTTCAGATTATGATGAAACTTGTGAGTAAACTTACATTTTGGTCACACAATTATTGATGAATAAATGAATAATTACTATATTAACACTGTAGGTATAACAGGTAAACTTAAAAGACCCAAGTGAAATCCTATAATGATTTTACACATGACGTTTGTTGGGATTGATTGTTACTGTAGATCCAGCATACACTACAAAAAACTACACTGCACGCTGCTGTATCCCAGAAACTGCTGCTATCAGGATTCTGACAGGAGAGTGATGAAATTTGGCACTCCTACTAAATTCTCTACTGGCAACCTCTTCTGACAGTAGGTTCTAAACTGTACAAGCATGATATTCATCTGTGTATCAAATGACCAAAGTGATTTTGGTTGAGTTTTACTTACACGTTTGTTTCCAAGAAGCTAAAAGTCTTCTTGCTTGTATTGGTCGTAACACAGAAAGGAGATCAGCCTCTTGTACAAACTGAAAATCTTCAGTAGTCTCCACCCCTATTGATTGTAGTGTCTCTTCCACAATGTTCAGAAGTGATCCAGGGAGGTCAGGTAAAACCTTGGCAATGGAACGTCTTATGTTGCTTTGCTCTCTGTCGTCCATTTCTAATAAGAGTAAATACAGTTTAGTTTACAACATTATGATCTGAAACATTTCTCCATTAGGCCTATTGTGCCAACACACCATGTTTCAATGGAACCAATTGGTATCCATCTTTCCAGTAAGATGATAATGGATAGAAATCAGCCAAGTCATTAAAGTTAAGACAGCACATCTCTTCATTGTCTTTCTTTACTGAGTACATGTGGAAATGAGGCAGAAACTCAGTACGGTATATTGAGACTATAAAATAAATTGTGTCATTTATAATCAAAATAAGCCCTATTTCACCAAAGTTCACAGAATCCCTTCCAGTCATAAGGAACTCTCCTTTTTTGTACAAATGT